CTGGAGATGTAAACAACTGTAAAGAAAAGTTGGAAAAAGAACCAGGTAAATATTTTTATTTGTATATATTATTATTCTTATTAGTCACTTTATTGGCCAAGTACTTGTTACATTCTGTGTGTTCCATTGGTAGATGCCAAATAGTTTGGGTTTTTTTGTATTTGTTCTATTTTACAACTAAGAGACAGCTGCTTCTCTTGAAACATAGGCAAATTTGATCACCTCGTGATCAAATTGGATGAATGAATCAAGATGTGGTGGAAAGTTCTGCTTTTGTTCTGCATAGAAAGCAAGGAAGAATGGCAGAAAACTTACTACAGTCTGAAGAGATGGGCAGCTGAATTCATGAATGAACAGAGCCAGACAAAACTCCTGGGATACTGCTTTCCTACTAGAATTATATACCCTTTTAAATAGAAAGTAAGACTTATGTAGAAACTTCATTTCTATATACATGAGTCTCTGATCTTTACTCCAAAATGTAGAGATTTCGAGGTCCATCTTCACTGGTCTGTCTTTTGACCCTGCACACCCTTGCCAGTTCTGGTTTGTTTCTCTTGTATTCACAGAGTGAGAACTCTTGATTGCTCTTCCATAATTTCCTATTACAGCTGCCTGACCTCCTTTTTCCTCTCTCTTTCTGCTAGTCCATATTAAAAAAGACTCCCAAAGAGACACAGGCAGAAGTGGCCAAGAACTTCATTATGTGCTACTTGGAAGTTCCTTGTAAAAATCCTTTCTGCATCACTTGATGAAGTTCAGATTTCTTCCCACAAGTATCCGGTTGTTGAATCACTGTGTTCTGATAAGTCTATGGAATAAAATATTAAAAAAAACAAAAAAAAAACCCCAAAAAAACTTTTATATTTTTGTAAGCCAGAATTGAAGTCATGAGAACATGCAATCAAGATCCTCATCAAAATGTGAAAGAAAGGAAAAGGAATCTATTTAAGGCAAGGAAATGATCATTCTCATTTTACTTTTCCCCCATATCCTCTCTTTCAGAAGGCAGCTCTAGCCTAGAGCATGCAGAGTGAAAAATCCAGGTATATGTTCTTGTGGGCTCGTTTGACAGTTTCAGACTTGTTTTTTTTAAATGACTGTGCAAAATTGTTTAGATGATCAGTTTATCATCTTCCTGCAAGAGATGTTCATAAACCTCTTGCTTTCTATAGTCCAGTTTGCTTCTTAAACATTCATTGGGGGTTTTTAAAATCTTTTTTTGTTTATTCCTATTTTTTTCCTGTTCAGTGAGGTCTAAACCAGGCTAAATCACACCTTAAAATTCTCTGAGACACTAACGTCAGAACTGAATGCTAAATTTTTTCCAAGCATGGTTACTGAGATGTAGGCAGTCATATCTGAAATCTCCAATTGTATTGAAATCATCTATGCTCACTGTTCTTTACTCATCTGCAGTTTCTTATAAAAGCCAAACATAGTCCTGCATATTTCCTTTAAGAGTATTCTCTGAACTGTGCTTGTTAAGCCTAGATAAGACCATTTGCTAATTGCTGTCACTCTTGCTTTTGGAATTTGACCTTTAAAGCATCATCTTTAGAAACTCGGTATAATACAATTCCATGCTTTTATATTGACTTTAAACTTTTTTCCCTGTCTATCTTTTACTTAATTTTTGTTTTTTAATGCCTCCAGGAAACTGAATGGCATATGCTGTTTAGGTGCAGGGCAGCTATATTTAACTTTACTAGGATGGAAGCATTTGGAGAATATTTAATTTTTCTTTTAGCAATTCATTAGAGAAAACCAGGAGAGTTCCATTTTCCCATAATGAAACTGCTCAGTCATTCTGTAAAAAGGGACGAAAAGATGAACTGGTGATATAACCTGCCTACCTTAAAGCTCTTATGACAACAGAAATTTCCAATTGCATTAAATGACTGTATTGCAGTTTTATCTGTGCTGACATTGTGAAAACTCTTCAGAGAAGTCTTTTTGTGATTCCATTCTCAAAGACAGAGATGGAAATTTCATGGGATATCGCTTTTGAAACAAATAATTCTTGCTGGGAGACAGTTTGCTGCTTGAGCATGCCTGGTATTCTCTGTTTACCTGATAAAACATTAGCTTGCAATACTACCCAAATTTATACTGCACATGTACCAGCAGTTCCCTTTTTGCCCAGTTTCAACTATGTTGAGACTCATCTTTGACGTCAAACAGGAATATGTGGGGTTTTTTTAATGTCACACCCTAGAAAGTCAGTGGTCTGAGGGACATCAGGACTGTCCTCTGAGCCTCAGGCAGGTGGAAGCAGCAGAGTAGTAAAGTGTTGAAGATGAGAGTACTTTAGAAAGCTGTATGTCAGGCTATATTCCTTTGAGGTCAAATTTGGACAGGTAATAGCAACTTGTATGCAATGGGAGATAACTGTATTAAGTTAACTTGATTATGTAGACCTTAGGATGCTTGAAACATTACAGCACTAGGCAGTGAATTAGTTTCAGTGTTAACTGTGGTGCTACTACGCTCTGCTACGGTAGAGGTTAAAAATTAGTCTTTTGGCATCATGTCTTCTGCGTTTCGGCTTCCATGTAGGAAGGGGACAAACCCCACAACCATTAGAACTGCATTTTGCATTGTGGGCTATTTTAAAATGGAGGAGAGAGAAAAGGATCCCACTTTGAATATGGTTAATATGTGCTGTATGAATTTAATTATGCTGTTTGGCATAAAATAGGTTTAACCATATTTCCCATCAACTTACATTTCTTGTTAGAAGGTAAGGTTCTAAACAGGAATGGGATTCCTTTTCCTTATTGACTTTTCTCAGAATGAACACTGCCTGCTGGACTGTTCCCTAGAAACATACAACTTGTTTAAATAGCTAGTTTTGCAAAATCAATCTTTTTTTGGTAGTGGAAGCTTTTCATCACTATTTTGGCTCTTGGTGGACAACAGCCCAAGAAAAGATTGAGAATACGTATTTTGATGGAAGATGGTGTAATTAATTACTACAGAAAATAATGTTCAATAAGCTTATTTTAAAGAGATTGGATTATTTTTAAACCTATACAAGCAAAAATGGAGCCTATTTCTTTGTTTAGTTTAAACATTGTTAGCAAATCTAGCAGCTCTTTTTTGTATCCTCTTTAGATGGATAAATTCTACAAGGTTAATAATATTATTGGTGCTTTCAGGAAGAGAAGTTATTATTATAATCCAAAATTATTAATGTTTTCAGTAGAAAGAGACTATGTCTTAAAAACTGTTGTTATATTGCATGCTTGCACTGTAAGAATTGAAGCGAATTTTGTAGTGTACAATCAGCTACAGTGTTATAGAAGGCAAATGAATAAAATGTTAAAAGAATACTTGTACATAAATACTTTGAAAGTACACTGATGTACTTTAAGTGCATGGAAATGGAAATCTGTAATGGAAAATCTTCCCATTTCAGACGTTTTGTGAATGGTGTTTCATCACTGCTTGTGCTTAGATTTGAGTTTCAAAAAAATAATCCAGAATGTTTAAATAAGCTACCTAGTTATAATTATGGTAATTTCAGAATGCATTTTAAATAAAGGAACTATGCTTTCATGTGCGTGTACTTACATGTATTGTGTGTTTGCTTTTAAATGGAAAGAAACCTGGTCTCCATCTTCCTGTTGACATCAAACAATCCTCTGATATGCAAATCCAGCTATGGGGAGAACAGATACACAGGGTTTATTTGGATTCAGTCCAAGACTGCGAGAAAATTATATTTAAAGAAGTAATGTATATGCTTTGCCTCATTTAAATGAAAATGCATTTTGAAGTAGTAACTATAACTAAAAACATTTTGGTGAAATGTTATAATCCTTTGTATGACTGGTGCATTTTGCTATAGCTAGTTTAAAAACATCTTTCTCATACTCCTGCATGTCTCTGTAATGTTTAGATGCAGCTGTCAGCTTCTCAGTGGCACATTTTAACATAGTATATGAAAATATTTTTATTTTTCCAGGGTAGTAAATGTTTGTTATATGAACTTCCTTAGGGTGTGCATGAGTGTGAAGTGTTATTAAAATACATCTAAGTACTTTGCTTTCCATCTAAAATTTTGCTAGTATTAATGTTGTTTGTGTATTTTCTTTGTGTGTTTAACTTTAAAATCTGTCAAAATACAGATTCTTTAAAAAGAGAGACTAAACGAGCAACAATTTTTCTGTCTTCTTACCTTTAGCTGCAAAATTTATAATGATCAAACTTGCATGTTTTAGCATGGGCTGAATTCCAGGTTTTCAGTATGTATTTTTGCAGGACTGTATTATTCCAGTCCCTGAATATAATATTTGAAGGAGATGTGTGTAGCAGAGCATAATTATGTTTCATGTAAGCTTTAACAGGCCATTGAACTGTTACCAGTGATCGGTAATGGTTGTTTATACAAGATGGAAAATATTTGACAGGAGTTAGATCACTATGAAATTTTCAGAAATCACAGTTCCTTTAGTCTGCTTTTATGTATTGGAGAAGTTTCTAAGACTAATCTGATTGACTCTTCTTACATGATCTTTGTTTGTGATTGTGTCTCACTACTATTTTTTTTCCTCTATGTAGAAAATGAGGATATGAAAATCAATGTTGGTTGTATTTCGTTTGGGAAGCTCTGTGGCACATACCTTTATATCTGACCTTTATTTGTTCTTTATTTTTTCTTACTCTATGCTAGACTATTCTGAGCACATTAAACATGCACTGAGGATCGCCAAATACTATGTAAATCCTTTTTTGGGGTAGCAGTTTTATTTCATTAATGTCATTTGTGGCTTTATGTGTTGACTGCCTTAAACACATACATTGATGATACATACATTTAATATTTAAGGGAAAAGCTTTCTGTGTCAAGAAGTTTTGTTAGACTTTTCTCATTAGATTGTAAGCCTCTTGTATTTGGTTTTTAAATAAAGGATTTTCTATCTTTTTTTTTTTTCCCAGTCACTTTATGCAAGTTTTATATTTTAATATTCAGTGTCCATCCTCTTTTCTTTAAGCATTTTAAGAAACAGAAGAGGTTGATTCCTGAAAGAACAGTTTGGAAGTACTTTGTTCAGCTTTGCAGTGCCTTGGAACATATGCATTCTCGTCGTGTTATGCATAGAGGTAATATAGGATCAAAGATGATTTGTCTTTACTAAATCTTTTACTGTGTGAGAATTTAGCTGGTTCAATGCAAATGACACCAAGTAATGTCCTAATGGAATAAATTTTGACAGCTGACACGATGTATGTTTCTGTAATGTTTTAGAAGTAACAGAAAAGCGTGACAGAAGTTTGTGGTTGTACATTTGTTGCTGTAGGCATTTGTTTGCCTTATGATACCAAGTTTTCAAAATAAGTGATAGTTCTGTAAGTGGTGGAGCCCCTGCCACTGCTACCTCTTTGCTTGCTCAATTCATTTTGATGGCTTTTATTTTCTGTCCTGTTCTTATTCTTCTATATTTGCCCATTGTCTCTCCCAAGTATTGTTACCTGCATTCTTCCACAGCTATCCATCCATTCTTTTCACCTCTTGCACCTTTTTTTCTTACAAAAGTATTTGCCTCCTGCCATGCCTTCTGCCCTTCTCCCACTCCCTTATCTACTGGATTATGTGCAGCCATGAGCATTTTCTCCCCTTCTCTGCTCCTCTCCACTATTTCCAATCTCTGTGTCAAGTACTGTGTCCCAACAGCCCTTGTAGTTGCCAGCTATCCCTGTCACGTACTAAATCTCTTTTACCCATTTTAAACCTCTGTACTGCTGTCTCCTGCATATGTTGTCTTAATTTTACCTTGTAATTCTGAGCCAAAGAAAACAGATCGTAGTATAGCTGCTTCTCAGATGTACAATTTTTTTTTGCCTTGGAAATCCCTCTGGCTATGAGTTGCAAGTTGTATATGGGCTGTCTCTCTGGGTTCAGGTGAAATTACATGTCTTAAGTTGGTGGCTTCCTTCTGCTGGGGTGCAAATAGCTGCCTGAAAGCAAAAGTTCCTCGATCTCTGCTGAGCTTTGTCGGTAGCAGCTAGAGATGTTGCACCCTTCAGCAGATCAGCTTAGATGCCCTTGCCCCTGCAAATGGCTTTCCCTTGTAATTCTCCTTGTTTTTTTCTTCCTTTATGCATTTGTACAGATATCTGCAAGTGGAAATTACACAAAGAGGAGGACATAAAATTACAGATTCTTTCCATAGGGTATAGGTATCTTCCTTTAATGCTTTTATGACTAAACTAGTTTATTTTAGTATATTTTAGCTCAAAACTAAAATGTGTTTAAATTCCTTAAACTGAAATACTACCTTCAAAGCTTCTGGCAAACCTATGGCAAATCTAACAATTCCATGGTTACACACCAAAACCAATGACAATTAAAGCTATTTTTAAGTTGAGCTGATATCCGTGTTGAATTGTTACACAAAGAGTGATCCAAACTCCTGAAAACTAGGTCAGATAGTAGCATAACATAATTGCTTCTGTCTTCCTCTCTAAAGCTTACAAGGTTTTGTAACTTTTTATTGGAAACCTGAAATGCTGGTTTGAAGCATTCCTTTTACTGTGCCCATACCTTATGCAAACTGTAGTCTCCTCTTTATCAAAGTTAAATGATTTTCTTTAAGTTTAGAGCCACAGTGCATTGCTCTTGAGCTGAGTAAGAGCTAAGCACACTTGCCAAACAAATATCAGGTCAGTTTATTTAGAAGACTAACAGGGTAGGTACCTTGTTAAAAATCATAAAATAAAAAATTTTTCCTGTTGTCTCTAAAGGATTGGTTTAAAACTTAAACTCAATATTATTTGTGAAAAATAACTGTCTGGGGTATACATCATTATTTTTCTTTGTTTCTACTTGATTAGCCCAATTCCATTGACGAGTTCAAATAACCATTCTCCTGAGTAAAACTTGCTTTGTTTTTTTAATGCCTGCTATTAAAAAGAATCAGTTACCTATTTCAAATAAATAACATCATGCCACTGTGGGTAATCTGATCAGCAAAAGTGATGAAAAATATGTTTTACAGTTCTTGAAAATTTTTGGTCTGTTACTTAAGACATAATGAGAGGTTTTCTAGTTCTAATGGAAGTCTTTATTTATAGCTTATATAAAGTAGTAATGAACTCCCTGTATATGCCTCTTTGGGTGTGTGTGGGGTTTGTTTTGTTTTTTGTTGTTGTTTGTTTGTTTTAAAATATTTTTCATGGCTCTTAATTTTTTGCTTGAGTGATGTTTGTAGTATTAAAATAGTTAATTTGAAATTCCGATTCCCAGACTTGCTTTTTCTGAACAGCGTAGTCAATTTTTTTTAATATTAGCAGTAAATAAAAGTCTTTTAGTCTTTCAGTCTATTATTAATAGAGCAGCAGATTTTCTTGCAACCTCATTGTGACTTCTACGTTTCTTAATTTTTTTTTTTTTTTTCAGATATAAAGCCAGCTAATGTGTTCATTACAGCTACAGGGGTAGTAAAGCTTGGAGACCTTGGACTTGGTCGATTTTTCAGCTCCAAAACCACAGCTGCACATTCTTTAGGTAAGCTTTCTCTGAGGTACAGGTGTTGAGGGAAGTGGATTTTTTTACATGGTGGAAATACTGTGCCCACTCATGAGGAGGAAGAAAAGGATTAGGTCCAGCTAAAGCTTTTCTTAAATAATAATAAAAAAAAAAATGGTCAGCACCATGGACAAATACAGAAAAGTTGTAACACTGAGGTGCCCCTTTCAGCAGTACAGCTTGTTAGTGGTCCCCCCGTTCCCCCCCCTCCCTTTTTTGAATAATTTAATGTACATTCCTGGCTCAAAACAAGTCTTCACGACAGTAGTGTTTTCTAGAAATGCTAGGAAAAAATAAGATCAATAATACGGATGCATTTTTTAAAATTGATTTGAATTTTAATCAGTGTTAGAAAGAATCTAGTAATTCTGTGTGCCTGTATGGGTAGCATTGATGACATGTTGGTTATATGCTTTGAAAGGGCTAACAGAGGAGCTTCCCTGTTTTGATGTGGAGTTTCTCAGTATAAGCTAAGTAAGTCGAGGAGAGGTCAGGATTAGCCTATATGAACCATAAAGACTTTAAAAACAAAACAAACAAAAAACCCCAAAAACCTAAAACAAACAACAATTATTTGCTAGCACATAAAAAATAACATTGTATTATCTTTTTCCAAATAAAATTTTCATATAATTTGCATCTTTTGAGTAGCAGGTGGAGACTAGGATGACTAAGAAGCCATTGAAGAAGAAGAAGTAAAAATTTGGCAGATATTTTAAGTTTAAATGTAGGGAACAGGCAAATGACAGAATCTAAGAGGATCTCTCTAAAAGAGAAAAGCCTTGTAAATAGAGTAGCATCTGCTTTAAAGAGAAATATAAGAATTAGTCTTTATAGTACGGTTATGTAGGTTTTTTAGTTAAGAAAATTCTTTTCCCCCACTGAAGTGGCTGTGTTTAGTGGTTGCTGAATTCAAGCCTGTTCACTGACTGCAAAGAATGTAAAATTAACTTTTAGACCCCTCAAGAGCAGGGCCATTGATGGCAGCATCCAGAATTGTCTCCTGTTCCTTGTAAAGGGTATTGAGCACCTTACTGATACTTGAATATAGATACGTAAAATCAATTCAAATGCTGCTCAGCGAGGATTTTTAACAAATGACAGTGACAATTCTGTAGTTAGGCATTTGGATATTTTTATGTGTTTGACAAGAGTGCGTGATACAGAAGATAGTATCCAAGAAAGCCAAGAATGATTAAGTAATACTTACAATCCCTATCTTAGGGCCATGGGAGGACACACAAAGAATTCTGTTTGCTCAGATGCTGATGTTTCTAACTAGACTATGAAATATCAGACTTCTTGGATTAAAATATGCCATATTTCTCCTCACCTCTTAATTTAACTTTATTCAGATAGTCCCAGTGTCGAAAAAGAGAGAGGATGGATGTTCAGCATGTTTGTACCACGTTTGAGGTGTGGGCGGTACTTGTGTTAACAGCCAAAAAACCCTATATTTTAGAAAGGAAATTTTTGATACGATCCTTACTTCCCTGTCTTCCAGAAAGCCTTTGGTCACTCTTTTGTGCCTTCCTGTTTTTATCGTGTTTGGTGCATACTGATATTGGTATAGTCAAAACCATGAGTAACTGCTGAGATCTTAATAGGACTGAGGTGAAACTCAAACACAGATGTGTAGTCTTGCATTAATAAAAAAGAGAGAGAAAGAGACAGAGGAGAAGCAGTGAGACCAGACTGGAAATGTGCTTGGGTTCCACGTCAAAGTTCAGATATAACCCTAAAGATCTGATATTAGTTCATGGCACAGCGTATTGTATAAAGTGCTGCTCTTCATGCTGCCGTCGGAGCCCAGTGGCTGACTCTGGCAGCACTGTGGAGATCTTATTTGTTGTAGTTGGGTCCTGCTATTGTCTGCAAATGGAGAAAGGATGTAAACGAGCAGTGTGAAGAGGGAGCTGCTCCTGGACTGTATTTGCAGGTACCTGTAAATCCTAATCTGTGGGTAGGAGCACATGAAGAAGGCAAAAGTCAGTTGTAAGGGCGGGAGAGCTAGACTTGTGTTCTGAGGCAGAAGTCAGGAAGTTAAAGAGGAACAAACTGCTTCAACCCTGGGTTATTTTGGCGCATTGTAGGGGAATGGTTGCAAAGGGATGAAGACTGAGCTAGAGTTAAAAACAATTTAAAACACCCAAGCGCTTTAAAGCTTCTCTCTTACAGATACAAGAGTAATCCAGAGAGCGGGGAGTAGGGGGATAGAAGATTTGTTTCTAATGTTGGGTGCTGTGTCTTGGTAGAGGAGCTGTTATTTTTTATTTTCTTTTTTCCCCATCTCTTCTGCCATTTCCCTCTTAATTATGACCTAATGTCAGAATTCAGCCTAGGAAAAAGGTTTTGTTCAGCTATTAACTCAGGCTACAGTGGAGGCAGTGACACTCTGATTTATCATGTCACTAGCAAAGACCAGTTTTTAAAATTGATTTCTCATGCAGTTTCTGATGCTGGTTTTCCTGAAATTTCTTTCAAAGTTGTATCTTTTTATGATTCCATAAACCTTTGGTGCACAAAACCCAGTGAATTACAAACATTATGTGTAGCAATTTGTACTTGTTTTACAGGCTTTATAAAAATTTCAGTAGCAAACTAGATTCAGGCTTTCAGAGATAAAGAAATGTACTGAAATTTTCATTAGCTACAGCTTCTAACTGCTAATTATGAATAATACTGATTTAATTAGAATACTTGTTGATGGTCCATTTGAAACAAATGAAAATACTGCACTGGACAGGGTTTGTTCATGTTCTTAACTCTTTCTGTACAGCCTTATCAAAACAGTAGAATTTTCCATTGTGGCATGTATATACCTTTTTGAAAATAGAAAATCTTTCTTCCAAAAATGCAAAGGAAATGGAGGCATTTAGTATTGTTGATTCAATACAAACTTGACAAAATATCTTGCTTTCAGAAGACTTTGTATTAGAAAGGGGAAAATGGTCCAAGAAAGGCTTCTTACTGCTTTCCCTATGACTGTGTGTTAGGGGTTTTTTTGTTGTTGCTTTTTTTAATGGCTGAATGCCAGGCCTTATGCTCTTTAAAATGGCAATTCTGAGGCCAGCTCATGGAAATGTGCATTTTTTTATCTTTGTTAGCCATTCAGTGGATTTAAGGATAGTCCATATTTTAGTATTTCAATTACAAAAAAGGAAAAAAAAAAACCAAACCAAAACAAAACCAAAAAACCAAACACTTCAGTTCTCCAGTGTGCTACAGGGCTGCACAGTATGCTGTCCAGGCGGACACCGCAGCCACGATGTGAATACCTTCTTGCAGGGCAAAGGAGCAGATCTGCAATCTTAAAGTGCTTGAAACCAAAGGATCATCTGTATTGAATTCCGGTGTTTCTTCTGTGGTTTGACAACTTCTGTCATTTCCATGGTATTCCTGACCCCAGCACAGAGCTATGTTATGAGGGATTTGACTGTAAACTCATGCAGGTTGTGGGGGATGAAATACCTTGTAAAAATATGTGTGGATACTCTCCTTTTCTCTTACATATGGATCTCTAACCCAGCAGAGGGTGTCAAAGCCAGTGCTGAGGTGGTGACATGCAGCACTGTTTTGCTGTGAATAGAATAAGCTCCACTTTCATACTCTCAGCCAAACCGTTCTGAGAACCTGCACCTCAGTGTACAGGAAGGCTAGCAGGGAAATCTGCAGCTGATTCATTGCAGTCATCAAAGAAGCTGTATTAAAAGAGCTCCTATTTTATGTACAAAACCCTGAGATCTCTTACAGTAGTTTGAAAGCTGAAGATAAATTATTGTGCTGTTACAATGCTACATTATAAAATAACCCAAAATATTTATAGATTGATTTCTGCAGTTAGACTATTTGCATAATGTAGGCTAGGCTGCAGAATTACTTTGGATAAGTGCAGTATTTTACGTCTGGTATCTGTGGTTGAAGTGAAGACAAGCCTATGACTTAGAAATCTACATCTATATTAAAATAAGTAAAAAAAACCAAACAAACAAACAACCCAACAAAAACCCGAAAAAAACCCAAAAAGAGAGAGAGAATTTGTTGTGTCAGTGGTTGGTTACCCTCACTGTTCTGTAACTCCAGCTTATTTGTGTCTTAGTTTGTCTATCATCAGCATCAACCATTGATCTTGTTAAGCACTTGCATGTTGTGTTGAACTCTGTATTATGAAATTCCTGTGATCTCATGGGCATTAAGTCATTCATAAACTGTATCTTTTGATTACTTAAATAAAGTGGGCCTTTTGTGTTGGTTTTTTTTTTTAACTGAAGTCTTGTTTTGGAATTCTTTGAAAATCAGAAGAGTTACTAAAGTGATTTTAGTCCCCTTTCTGAACTTGGATAGTTATGTATTCTAATGCATGGAATGTCAGTAATAATTATATGGCCTTTTTTAAAACTAGTCTATTAAACACCTTCCAAATCAGCCATTACATTGTTTTGTATAAGTAGCATTAACATTTACCAGGCAGATTTTTTCCCCCAGCTTAAAAATGCTTGATAGTACTTAGAGCTAGTTACTGTATTTCAATCAACAACGTGATGCATTGTCGGTTTTCAAGTGAAACACTCTCCTCTTTAACTCAGCTGCAGTGTGAGTTATGTGTTTATGCAGGTAATAAGATGGACTGTTTATATCATAACTCCCTTCATAATAGTTTCTTTGCCTCTGACCCTTCAGACCCAGCTCCCTGCTCTGTAATAACCACCATTTCCATTATGTCTGTTGCCTCTCCCAATAGCAGAAAGCTTGCATAAAGAAACAACATTTTCTGGATCTGCAGCATCTTTAAAGGGAGGGAGCTCCAGAGCAGCAGCAGATTCTGAGGAAGCAGTTTATTTGACCCAGGCCATTTTCAAGGAGATTACCATTCAGACCTGCAGGTTATCCAAGATGTGCAAATGCAGTGAACAGAATGCTGAAGTTACAGATTTTGTTCTTAAAAACATAGGCACCTTAATGTGTTACGTCTTTGTCTTGTATTATCCCACTTCTATGTCTTCAGATGAGTATAAGAAAGTCACATGTCTTTATAGTATTGTGATGCTGTATTTCACTTAACAGGAAAAAAAAAAAAAAGATCCAGGAAGGAAACATAACATATAATCACATCTGGTAGTTGCTGGCCAGCACTACAGCTACGTACTGAGATTGCTCACCATTTTAAAGAATTGTTGCAATGCCTTCAGTAGTTCCTGAATGTCAGAATAACGAATCTTTTGTGTCGTGTTCTGTTAAAAACAGTTTACAAGTAGTAATGATGTCTAGATCTTCAGGTTGTTTTTGTGACTAATATAACTGTAATTTCAATTCCTTTCACTTGTTGGTCATCAGGGGCTTCAGGTTGTATTGCAGTTAAGGTGTTACACTAGGCTAAACGCTGTAAAATGATAGCATTTGTTCTTCCTTTTCACTATCATCAATCTTTCACAGTCATATCAGACCCCTAATGTATCAGCAGGCTTCCCAGAGCTACTGGTTAAAATTACCTTTGCTTTTGGTAAACTATGAACTTTCAAACCTCTGTGTTTTCAGCTGCCCCCTGTGGATTCTGTGAAGCCTCTTTCTGGCACATTACTCACTGCCAGCTACTTGCGTGTTGTCTCAGAGCAGCAAAGGCAGTGCTGCTGTAACCAGCTAAGAACGAGATTACTATTAAACTTATTTTTTGTTGTTAGATGAATTCTGCCAACAAAACAGCAGAATATACTGAACTGGTGCATTAATTGATGGATGCAAAATACAGCTGAAAGTTTTCAAAGGTGTCCAAGCTCACACAAAAAAAAAAAAATCAGGAGGAAGTACAACAGCAAGGATAATAAAAATATGAAAGCTGTGTCATGCCAAATGTTGTTTAATTACAGTTTCCAATTTAAAGATAGCTGTCATTAAACACCCATTAAAGTACTGCTGTTGATACATTAGAATAACAGAGTTGCTTCTGGATATTCTGGTAGCTATTTTGGTGTTGCAATCCACCCATCTGTGTGCCTATTCTTTCACAGGGAAAAAACCATCCCTCTTGACCGTTCCTCTGTTGTGGGTGAATACGAACATCCCATGAGAGTAAATGGTTTTCCAGTACTCAGTACGACTGAGTTGCCTTTCCCCAGCATTTCTCCTTTTGAGCTCTTGATCTTTCACAGCCTCAGTTCAGAGCCGCAGTGATTCTTCAGGCCAGCGCTGAGGGAGCCTCTGGGGAGAGGGGCTGTGGCACCCTCTGCTTTCCTGGGGCTGGAAGTCTCCCCTGAAATATTTAGGCAGCCAAATCCATTGTAGGATGCAATATGGGACCTCTGTCCTTGCTGCTTCTTGTTAGAGAAGCACGATCTCAATTTATATATTGGTTTGGAATATTGTTTTCAATATTGTTTGCCAGGAAAGAGATCAGTTGAAATTACGGGTTACCAGCAGCAGTGGCCTGACCTGGGATAAGGTGGTACTGGGTTTCCCAATCCGAGCTGGGCCTTTCAATAGGAAAGTACTTCCCCCCTCCCCGCCAAGGAAGTATGGCATAGTTTGAGATGTCAGCCTTTCTAAAGATAGGGCACATTGTCAAAGCTAAACCCTTAACTAGTTGAAATGATTAGAGTAAAATTATTAATCTGATTAATTAAAACTATTAACCTGATTATTCAGATTTGGAATTACTTTTGTATTCACTATATCTCTGTTTCCATTATTCATAGAGAGATGAATTCTGAATAAATGAGGCTAATTCAGAAGTGCAGAAGTGATACGAGATCTTTGTGTTAAATTAGTGTGAGGTTCACACTCTAATAGTTTGCAGTGAGAGTGCTGATTTTAATCTTTGGCTGTGTTGCAAGATGTTTAGTTTTGAAATAAGGTCAACTTGTATTGAATTGATAGAATTCAGTTGGTTTTCATCATCAGGATTCAGTGCTCAAGAAAAAACTCCACACAAAACTGAAGTAAAAAAATCTACATAGATCTGTGACTCTTTTTGCTGTTAGGCAGTCATTTTGGGGGGAATTTAGGGAGAAAGTTCAGAGGCAATGCACCAAAATTGCCACTACCATTATTTTTTGTAACTTCTTTTCTTCTTGATCTGTCACATATGAACCCATCACTCAGATACTTTTTTTTTTTTTTTTTTTTTTTTAAAAATGGCTTTTTTAGTACAGATGAAATACCTCTCAGAATTTCTCTCTTCCAAGTAACTTGTGACACAGATGGGTAGGGTCTGATTAAAATCAAGGGGAGAGATGTCCTGGAGTATCCAATGTAAATTTGCTCTGGGACAGTCCTAGTAAATGCTGCTTTTCAAGAGCAGATGTCTCCAGAGCCCACAGTTCTGAGGCAGGATTAAGCTAGGACAGCCACAGATTTGGGAGCTAAAAAGCCCTCGCAGAGTCTAGTCCTGCAGCAGATGGCTGAGTTGCTCATAGGAACCTCGGCTTCTGCTGGGCTTGCAGGTTTTTCTTCCTCTCTGGGAATCTGAAGATCCTGGATTTCAGGCTCAATTTTAGTTTCAGATATTCAAACTAAATTGTGTTTATTAGTTTCAAAACCAGCTTTTTCAGATTTGTATATTCTCAAAAGGAAGAATAGACAACACATTTAAAAAAAAAAAAAAAAAAAATTCAAGCCACGGAGGAGAATTTCTAGCTGTTGCTATTTCCAGCCACAGTAATAGCAGTTTGGAAAGGAGCAGGGATGTGTGTGTGTGTATGTGTGTAGTACGTTCCCTTGGTTCTGTTCAGAAGAAAATAATTACTTTCAAGCTTCTTTAAAAGCAAAAATTGGAAGTATTCTACAACCGAATAATTCTGGTAATTAGATATCAGTAGTGAAAATAAAGCTGTATTGGATGAAATAGATACCTAATTTATGTGTATTTCTATCAAATTGAAGAGTCATAAGTATGAATTGAAATTATATGTGTAGCAAAATGAGAAATACAGAAGATGAAAAATGTTTTTCAACCAGGAAAACTGTACTTTTACTACTATATAACAACAGAAATTTTCATTCAAAAATACTTGTGTATTTATTGCAGTTGGTACACCTTATTATATGTCTCCAGAGAGAATACACGAAAATGGTTACAACTTCAAATCTGACATCTGGTCTCTAGGCTGTCTGCTGTATGAGGTAATATTGATATATACAGTGAGCTTAACAACACTGTTGTGCTCCCTCCCCCCCGACCCCCCCCAACCCCCCGTATTAAGTACTGTTTTAGGATCTATTTCTATGTCTTTGCTGTTCAGAAAAGTATGTAGCACTGTGGAAAAGCTACTTTTCAGCTATTATATATCTGTCTTTAACATTAGCAATGAGAACTCTTACGTAACTTCAGCATACTTTTATTTGTGTGTTACTCAAGACTTGCCTTTTACTGGGCTTGCTGCAAAGATTTTACAGAATTTGTTGAAGATTGGGCATAACTGAAGGGTTAATAAATGAATAATGGCAAGCACATGTAAAATTGTTCTAGGTGTTTTAATGGCCTATGCCATTGGTAATAAATGTATTGAGAAATAACAGGACTGACTTGGGTATTGAACTAATGGTTTCAAAAACTGCAATATAGTTATTTTAATCCAAGTTTAATTTCTTTAAAATTATTTAAAATCTAAGTAAAACAATTAAAAAAAAAAAAAAGGGTTACGGTGTACTTATTACTACTAGCTCGGATTAACTTTCAGGGTAATGACTTCTGCTGCACAGACATATGTAATTTTTCTACTCTTTCTCCTCCTCCAATTGGATAAACTATAATTACTGGTTAATTTCTGTATTAATATGGTCGAGATTGGTAGGTGACACATAATTTTAAATTATATTATATTCTGAGAAAATAAAAATATAGGGCAAATTGAAATTGAGGCGAATGAAGATGTGAAGAATAGGTAGGCTTCTAAGGCAACTATGCCTTCAAAGTTCTTTGCATATCATTTGTTGATCAAAAGACTAAACACTTGTGTTGAAGGATGCTGGAAAAAAATTCTTTCTATCAGCAATGGCAGTGAAGTCTTTCTAGTCATGTTGCGGTAAAAACTAATATACCCAACTCACTTTTCATTTACCTGTAAGCCACCTGCCTCAGTGAGTCAGCAGAACTCATTTAACACGTATTCAACAGGATCAGCACCTCCTGTTATTTTAGGATTTTGTAGAAAACATTGTCAGCCTGTTAAAGTTGTATGTTACTACGAGATGAATTGTCTCCAGTAATATTGGTTTACTTTCTATCACTAACATGTTGCTTTAAATATTAGAAGGGCAAATAGCTATATTGCAATTCTGCAGAGTTTACAGATCTATGTATAGCTGTTGCTTGTAAATCTTTGGGGCAATTCACGGGAATGAAGTCCGATACCTGATAGCAAGTATTTAGAAGTTTAAATCCTGAACTGAAACTTAATCCCATATTGGGATTCCTTAGTACTGACCATGGCAACTGCCATCAATTTCAATGGTCTACTTTGCACACTTGTGCAAGCAGGAGCCTAAAGATAGCATAAAGGTAGATGAGGATTTTTCAGTATTACTACTTCTTTTCCCTTCATTGGTTTTCTTGAGGATTTTTTAAAATCTGGAAACAAACAAATAAAACCCTTGAATAACTAATTATTATATAAAATAAACATGTTTTAAGGTTAATTTTTCGTCTATTTTATATGAAATAAAATTGCTGGATAGAAATCAATAGCACTTTTCTAAAGAAGATTGTTTTTTTCTGTGCTTGCTGCTTTGATGCTGGTACAGTATATTAAACACCTATGTGAATATTAAATTTTTCTTTGATCTGCTAAATAATTTCAAAATAGCTAAATTCTTAATTCCATTGATTAACTCAGCATCTTTAAATACCATTCTCTTTTTATTTATTTTAGAAGTTTTACCAGGATGGTATTTAAGTTGATACAGTGTTGTGTTTGGTTTTTTTCCTTATTGTAAGAATAAAGTAATTATTAGGATACTTATTGTTGATATATATTGTATAGCTATAGTGTATGGCAGTGTCTTCAATTATAGCTTTTAAATTTTTTTGAGAGGTGCTTTTATCCCATTTAGATAATTCTACAACATACCAGATATTTGTGGTGGGTTTTGTGTGTGTGTGTGTGGTGTGTGTGTGTGTTTGTTGTTGATCATTGAGATGTAATTTTGAAATTTTAGGTACAGTAAACTCAAAATATATGCTCAGCATTTTTCTCTTTTTTTTTTTAATTATTTGAAAGTGGTTACTTCAGGTTCTTCAAGACATGTGTGGACTAATGCATGGTATTTTTATTATCCATGCAGTTTTGTGCTGGATATCTTTTTGTGATATGTCTATTGCCTGTATTTTAGCATGTTTTATTATATTGATTTCATGTTGATATGTGCTCATATGTGCTCTGGATTCTCTCCAGCTTAATTGGAGAAAAGCTGTGGCATGTTTATCACTTCTCAATAAATGCTTAATTGTTGCTAAATTCTTTTCAGTTATGTTTTAATTTAAGTTTGGAGTAATTTGCTATAATTTATGTTGTTTTAAAAAATTATTATTTCTAACCTATGTCACAGTCAATTCAATTCTAACTATGTGGCCAGTAAGATTTTTAAAAGTCTATTTTAAAGTCTGATTTTTTTTTAGAGCCCCAGGTATTTCTGAAACCTCAAAAACACTACCATTGGAGTTTTAATTGATATGCAACAAAGTAGACTTTACTAATTAAAATCAAGATGCTGTGCTTTTGCTACATGGACCTTTACATGGAAAAGTAGGTTTTACACATTTCCTTTTATTGTTCAGCGTAGCAATTGCATCCTTACAGGGTTGTAGGTTGGTGGCTTACAGTTCAAAAAAAAAAAAAAGGGGGGGGGGGGGGGGGGGGGGAAAAGAGAGAGAGCTGCCACCAGCCCTGAAGACAGACAGTGGGCTTTCGTCCCTCAGACACCCCCAGAATACTAATCAGGAAAGTCAGACCCTGGAGGTCAGGGAGCAAGTCAATCATTCTAGCGATCGTCTCAGTGTGGAGGATCAAATTAGCCTGAAAAATTCAGCTGCTGGGAGGAGAGGGCGAGCAGCTGTCAGGGGCAGCAGCGAGATGCACTAATGAACCAGATGAATAGTGCAAAAGCTTGAAAATAAAAACAGGACAGTTGACATTTTTCATCTGTCAAAGCAGGAGATGCATGAAAATATAGTATTCCTGTTTTAACTCCTTAGGGGACATTGAGAATTTTTTTAACACTCTGCAGCATTCCAACAAAAGTACTTTTTAATGAACACCTAGAGTACGAAAATGAGTATCTGTGCATTTATTTAGAATTTCTGCATGCGTACAGATCCTGCAGTTGATTTTTCTTTTTTTTTTTTCCTTTTCTTTTTTGGTCTTTAGCTTGCATTTTTAACATTCTTTTTAAGGTAAGAAACAATGTCATGTATCTCCAAAAATTAACATTATTTTGGTAATACAGTTACAGAATTTTTGAGAGGCGTGTAGGATGGAACTGTAGTATGGTATTTGTTTTGGGAGCTTTAAAATTATTTATTCTTACTTTAGGGTAATATGAAAAAGTACTGAACTATTTGATATAAAGTACAGATATAAAGTAAATGTAAGAGAATTTTGGTAATTTTCTTCCTACATTTTCCCCCAGTGATAGACATGAAAGAGTTAAACTGCTATCTGGAAGACCACAAGACAGATGAGAGCCATTTTCAGCTTGTCCTGTCCCTGCTGAAGCTCACTGAGTAGCACAGCATGGACTAGCGTGTTTCACACACACTCTGCCTGTCTGGGGAATGTACACATTGTCCTTCCAAAATCAAACTTATTAGCACATGTAGAAAAGGGTGACTGACTTTGGGGCAGCACTGCACTCAAAGCAGCGTTCGTGCTGCTGCGGTTCAAAGACTTGGAAGGCTTTGAACAGAATGGAGAGATTTTAAATGAATTTTTAAATTTGTAATCCTGCTAACCATAGCATTTTTTTCCACCTTAAATGTCAAGTTATAACATTTTCTGGAAATAAGGCATAGGTTTACTAATGCGGGTCTTAATTGCTGATCATTTAAGTGCTCTCCAACAGATACTCTTATTTTTATATTAAAATTGTAAATCATAGTCATGGGTGCCAGTTCTGCACTTATGATGTTTTGGCATTTTTTTTAAAGTATTTTCAAATAATATACCGAACTATGAAGTTTTTGGATTTGGGTTTTTTTTTTTTTTTGAAATATAGATGTTACCTTTAGTTTTCTTGCTTTAAAAAAAAAAAAAACTACTACTTTATCGTAGTCTAGTAATAGCTGTGGAAGATTACAAAATCTACTACTGTTACCCAGCATTTTCACCATACAGTATTGCTTTAGATCAGATAGTGTTTTCAAATAAATTATATGTTTCTTTCCAAAAGGTCTTCAGAAGAAAATTACATTGCAGGTTTTGGGGTTTTTTTTGTCTCCCTCGTGGTGCAAGGACTCTCCACGCTCACAGCAGTATCAGAAACGACTCAGTTTCTCCCCATATTCTATTAATAAAACTGCTATGGTATACAATTCAAATATTGCAATATAAGGATTGTGACAGGTTCGGCTGTACGACATAGAATAAGTACACACACTGGTTACAGTAATAGTTTTGGAACTTACGTTTTTTTTAGCACTGTGACACTTCTAAGCAGGGAATCGAAAGTCGTTAAAAATCACTTCTGTTAGTATTACAGATTTTATGGCAAAACAGGTTTACTTAAAAACACAAAAGAAAACTGTACATTTTCTTTAAACAGATGGCTGCACTGCAGAGTCCCTTTTATGGTGATAAAATGAACTTGTACTCCCTGTGCAAGAAGATAGAACAGTGCGACTATCCACCTCTCCCTTCAGATCACTATTCAGAGGAAGTAAGAAATTTTCCTTTTCATGGGCTAGATCCTCAGTTTCTGTAAGCTGGCACACTTCCAGGGAAGTAAATGAACTTGTGTGATTTTGTTATTTGCAGATTATGCCCATAGTGTTTGCTTGCTGAACTCTCTCAAATGTTCCTGTCAAAACAAGTCTCTGATACGATTTTAAATTTTGGGGGATTAATGACGGAAACCTCATACCGTTAGCTTCTTAATTTCATTGAGCTTCCTTACAAGTATGACAAAATGCTTTCCCAGAATGCACAATGATATTTTCTACATGCCAGAATGGGATTGAGTCTTACATCTGTAGTATGCTTTTCTAAAAGTACAACTATGTAAGTTTATGTTGCACAGTAAATTAGTGCACTAGCCTTGTTTCTGTAGGGGCTTGCATTAAAATAGATATAATGTAACTCACTAGTAAAAATGAATTGTTTAGTTCCCATTTGTCTGCATTATAAAACTGCGATGTGCTGGTTGATAAAATTGAACGGCAGCTTTTTTGCAAGAAAGAGTGGTTCTTGACAACGCTAATAGTAAATTTCAGAGAAATATAGGCAGACATAATATAATTGAATTTGAACAATATACTCATGCATATCGCAGCAGTATTTGTTTTAAGCTGATAGGTAACAGTTCTTTACTGTCATTAATGCATTTAAGGGGGGTACTTGCTTTTTTAAGGTCTAAAATGAAAAGAAACTAAATAAAATAAATATTTTTCTTAGTGCGAGTAACAGAATGAAGAAATATAAATGCTTTCTTGTTAATGTTCTGAGACGCCAGTTTTGAAATACTTTCTCACTTGGAAAAGAACAGGGCAAAGTGATAGAAGCTGTAAACCAAAGAACACGTATTAGTAACCAATTCTAATTGAATTCAGCCTACATGAATTAAAGATTACCTTGAAAACGCAAATAAACACAAGCACTGAAATACTTTTAATAAACATAAAGTGTTGTACGATTTCACTTAGAGAGTAGGGGTTGTAATTCTGAACCTTAAATTTTTTTACATTCAAAGACAGTGATTGGACTATTAATAAAAGATTACTGCCCAGTATTTTCTTTTTTTTAGTATAGTGACCATTTTTCCTCTTTTATGAAAAAAACTGAACTTAAAAAGATAATTCAGTGAAGTTATAAAGGATGAAATAATTATTTATTATGTAATTTATGAATTATACCTCTTTGTGGGTTTTCCAATTAGTCATTTTACCTGGGCCGTTTTTAATTATTATTTATTGTAGACTATAAATATGGCAGTTCATATAACCAACTTCAGAACTAGAGGCCTGGAAATACAGTAGGGTGTGAACAATAATGCAAAATGATAGCAAGAATGTCAGGGGCCGTTCTTTGTTGTGTCATTCATGCTGTCTTCCTTTTTCCATGAAGCGCATGAATATTTCACATATCTGCATCCTCATCCTCTATTCTTCTTGACTAATTTTCAGACTGTCTGAATTTGCATTTCACATGGTAGCTGATTAGGAGATGCCGAGTGCAGCAGCGAAGCCTCAGCAGGCGGTTTCCATGGTGACCTTCAGCAGGATTTTAATGATGATACCACTAGTGGTTCGTTGAAGTTGGCCTGCCTGCAGGGCTACTTCACTGCAGCTAAGTGTGAAGTTGGATATGCGGATTCCCAGCCAAGGGACAAATATCAAAGTCTGGCCCAGATAGAAGGTCTCAGAGTTTGGATGGGGAAAGAGAGTCCACCTTTTACTTACATCTGTATAGTTTCTAGTTTTGAAAACAGATGCAAAGCACATGTTATGTTTTCTTTATTTCAAAGCAGATACATACTTCTGCACCTTGGATAAACCAGTTATTTGCAAAATACACAAGTTGTTTTAAAACATAATGAGAGAATCAGAGCTATGATAGGTATGAAGATAGGTATGAAAGTAGTTATTTAAAATCAACTATGGAGACTGTAATGGGAACATTTTTTATGTTCTGATATGAAGACTTGTGTCTTCGCTAAGGTACATGGAAAAATAGATATGTTTATTAGTTATTGCACCAAAAGATAAAATATACCTCTTTTTTTTCACTTGTACAAAAAAAATACTGTGCTGGCATGAACTGTAAAAAAAAAAATAGAAACAAACAAGCGTTATCTGTCATTAGGATACTGTCCTAAATATTTCACCTGTACTGGAAATTTAGATATCAAACCTTTAACCAGTTGGAAGCACACTTAGTGAGCAGTAAAAATCAGGGATCACTGAACAGTAAAACCCACTTCATATTTTATAACAAAGAATTATTTGAAAGAAAAATTTCACTGAGTGTTGATCTCTGCATCCTCTGATACAGGGGTGTAAATACTTTCATTACAAAATACAAGACAAGTGCTTTTTAGAGAAACTTTTTATAAGTAAATTTTAATGAGTTTTAAGATGTGACAGTTTTTCTAAATTTTGAACTCTTTAAGGCTAACCTTTTAGTAATGCATCACATCCGTGTCATCAGAGAATAACGTGACAGAAAGATGCACCTTAAGATAGACGGACAGATGGATATTTTTTTAAAAACCTTTGATTAGAAATCCTAATAGTCTAAGATGCATTTTCACAATCTATTGCTTCAGCAGTAGAGTCTCAATTTTTGAATATTCCTAAAGAATGTCTGGTATTCAGGGTGAGTATTTGGCATTTTCTGAAAGCTGTATTCTGCTTTAGGGAATTCAAAACTGGAGGTCCCTTGCCACCCCCAGTCAATACTCTTAAAATCCTGTCAGCCAATATTAGTATCATGTTGCTTTCATAATAGATGAAGTTTTTCAATCTCCCCTTTGATTGAGGTGCACTTCTTCTAAAGTCCATAGCCAACCTCCTACCCAGATGTGAAGGCTGAGTGAGCCAGCAGGTCTAGAATGGCAGTGTTAGTTGCCAGCAGAAGGGCTTGAGAAAAACACTGAGTCAAGAAGGTCTCCTATTCAGAGTAAGAAGAGTTTGTGTTTGTTTCCCCCCCCCCCCAGAAAATTTCTTTTTTAACTGGCTAACGATGCAAAGTACTTGCCTCTCATAGTTCTGTCTTCCGCCCCCTCCTTCTGACTTGAGTGATAATTATTTATTTCATAGCTGAAAAACCTGGTAAAGTTAAAGAAAGTGTGTCCCACTGCTCCGATGTCAGGCTAAGCTCCAGGCTAAAGACAATCATTGTGCTAAGTGCACAAAGGAGGTTAAGAACAATAAGCAGCTGAAAAAGTTGCAGCTTGGGGATGCAACAGGAGGTCCCTCCAGCTCAGTCATAAGTCTGCTCTGCCTGTTGGCCAGTCTGTGCCAGATAATAAAAAAATCTCTCTCTCTATAATGATAGTCTGACTTTAGAATCCCGTGCCTCTTCCCATGGTACTGTCAGGCTCTTCTGCTGCATCGGAAATTTTATTAATACTAGAGGGGTTGACAAATGGATTTCAGGTTTATTGAAATGGATATTCCTGTAGGAGGTAAAGGAATTGTGCTATAACCAAGTATTAACTTCCAGCCTAGTCCCAGTTTCAGTCCTGAAAGGCTATCTTCCTGTGTAACCATTTTCATCCTGTAAAACAAAATTAATTCACCCTCTCCCAAAGGTTTGCTGTTCAATAACAAGGCTCAAAAGAGCTCAAGGATTTTGAAATTACTCAGGAATCTGTACGATCATTGTGCAGTGTCCCCAGCATAGTCAGCTCAGCGTTCCTGCCTTACAACTGAGATTCTGGACTGGGGAGGGGGAAGGAGATTTTGCAGTAATAGCAGTGACCAACATTTAAATGTTAAGACTCATAGCCAAAAGAGATCTATGACTCTGTGGTTTATTTTATTACAGCAATAGTGAAGGTTTGTCACTAATTGAGCTCACCTCTTGCCCTATGTTGGGAAGAGAATTTCTGGGTAAACTGATTCAGTGACTGTCCCTTACTACGAAGATATTCTTGTAGATCCTTTCTCGCATCCTAACAACGGTAGCTACATATGCATTTTGGTTAGAGTAAAAAATCAGAAGCTGCAAAAAGCCACCAGTCAAGACACCACGTGGGTGAATGGATTTTGCAAGTGTACTTCCAGGGATTAATAGGACCTAAAGCCTTACATGTACTTTTGAGTAATGATGCTGTTTTGCTACAGTGTCTTTCTAAGCAATGAATCTTCTTGGCCATTTTATTGAAGCTTTGAATTGTAATATACTGTAACAAGTAACAAAGTAACTGTGAAGAAAGGCTTCCTGTTTAATGACTAAACAAACAGTTTGAGTCTGAAATTGATTTTCACATGATAAAGTTCAGTTTAGAAAACAAAATCAGAGTTACCCACAGGCCAGGATTGAAAAGTCATGAAGTAGCCTATTGGAGGTAAACAAGGCTTCTCATGCTTATCACAGGTAAATTTCTTGAAGGTCTACTTCTGCTGTTCTACCCACAGTAAAGTTATTGATTATACAGCTGTTAAAAAGGGGAGAAAGAATACTCTTTGCCCTCTGATGACAGCTTTATAGGTTTCAATCCTTCAAGGTCTTTTACTAAGACTTTATTTACTGTATGCAGTTCTATTGAACACATGGAAGTTTTCACAGAGAAAGATAAATGTATATGTACAAATTCTGCAGATAAATTACACTTGTATTCTCTTTGCAAAATGTTTACTTACTCGAGTCTAGTTTCAGGCTTGGGGTTTTTGGATGTTCTTCAGTCTTTCCTGTTTCCCATGCAGGCTGTCTGAGGTGTTGCATAGCAAGCTGCTCACTCTGCTAATACATTGTGCTTGTTGCTTACACTGTGTCCCACCTGCTTCTTCTACAGGAGATTGGTTTGCTTTGCATATTTGTATTACACATTTGCAATTATTATTTCTTACAGTACTTCATGATCTCCAGTGTTCTATTCTCCAAATGATTGGGAGCTATTACAGGCTAATAGTTTTTCCCGTCAGTGGTATTGTATTTTATTTATTGGCTGCCAGAAGCAATATGATGGCTTTTATAACTCCGTTAGTCAAAATACACTTAGCATATTTAAGATTCAAATAGCAAGTCTATTACAGATGATTTTGATTTAATATGTTTCTTTTCAATCCAGCAATCTGACCACTATATTCAGAATTAATGATCTCATTTTTAAATATTAAGCTCTTCTTGCTAAAGAAGGGGGATGTCTACTGACATAGTTCTTGTATTGTTAAATATGAAAAACCTGTACATTGTATACAATTTACAATGTTTCTGCAAGGGCTAATGAACAAAGTTTTAAATAGTGGTATGCAATGTTTCTTACTTAACTTCTGGACTTCCTATTCCTGTGCGTTTAAATTAATCTTCTGAAAAGTGAAGAGAATGTAATTATAATTTAAAATCCTTCTTGGTCTTTATAAAAAGCAGGAAGGAAACTCTCTGATGGCAGATTTGAATATACAATCTATGTTACTTTTGAATAATCATGGTACTGAAGTAGCTCTGTGTTAGTTGCAATAATTACAGATTTTTTCAATAGTCATACCTAATAGTACTGGGGGGAGACTGAACCAAATTTGACATACTGCCATAGAAGGGTGGATCGCAAGGTGTTGGCTTTTTTTGTTGTTTCTTCCCCCTTCCCCCCCCCACTCTAAGAGATCTGGGAGGATTTGGCAAAGCTAGTAAAAAGCATAAAGGAAGAGCTTCAGGGTTGATTAAGTTGCTCTCTCAAAGGATTGTAAACACTTAATAAGTTGTCATGAAGCAGGTGTATTCTACATTACAAAATGCTTAGGAGATGCACACAATTTAAAATAGATGCCCCATCAGAAGGTTATCCAGACTATGTTGAATTCTAATGTCACCTGAGGCGTATCAAGGGAGGAAGATAAACCTGCAACTGTTATGCCAATTTGTGGAGGCAATGAGAAGTGTCTGAGGGTGAGGAAGCTCTTTGGGTTGCTTCTGCTGAATATGTGCACTGTAGAAGGCCTGATGAATTATGGTGTTTGTGAAAACATGGGGTTTTCTAGTCATAGTGTTATGTTTATTCCCAGATAGAGGCTTCTGTGAACATATTTGTTAATTACGTGCTTCTTTCTATAAAGAAAAAAATCAGTGATCTAATCCTAAGAATAGATATTGGGACATAGACCAAAGGTTATTTATTCCAGTATCATGTCTCCAACATTGGGCAAGTGGAGTAACAGGGCCAGCATAATGTGATACTTCCCCAAAATACTTTCCCAGCTTCCAGTTTTAAGTTCAGAGATTTCCTCAGTCAAAAGTGGAGTCTTTATATTAAATAGCCCTCAGTGGGTTTAATTTGTTCAGTTGCTTTCTGAATGCGTGTGTATTGGTAGCCTTTAGCAGGAGGAGGTTCTGCAGGTTAACTCTGTGTTATAAGGAGAATCACTGCCTTTTATTTGTTGGAACCTGTCATGCAGCAATGCCATTTATTGCTGGCTACCTCTTGTATCGGGAAAGAATGAGCAAGCAGTCCCAATTTACCTTCTCTGTGCTAGTTTCAGCTTTCTGCGCTTTGCAGGCATAGCCGTCCAAAAACACAGGAATTTTCATTTCAATGATGTATAATGGGACTAAATGCATGTCTAAAGTTGTATGTTAAAAGCATTAGAACTTAAATCTGCTCATCAGTTTTTCTGGACAACAGTACAAAATGTAAAAATCGAGGAAGTATGTTGCATACATGCTTGCATAAAACTGCAGTGTGTGTCAAGGGGGGGTATTGAGTGTGTGTGTTTATGCAGAATTGCTATGTTTGGCTAATTTTTGCCACTCTTCTTAATTTGAATTTGATAATGCACAAATACTAATTGACAGGATCATTGGCTTTCTTACATGTTATTTTCCTTTCCTAGCTGCGACAATTAGTTAATATGTGCATCAACCCGGATCCAGAGAAGCGACCAGACATAACCTATGTCTATGATGTAGCGAAACGTATGCATGCACACACTGCGAGCAGCTAAACAGACATCAGATCATGAAGAAAAAGCAGAAATAACCAAGTATTTTAAGTAGATCATCCCACCTCTTTGTTTGTGTGTTACTGAAATGTAATTATTTGAAGCTTACTGTTGTGCTTTGAATTGTAAACCGATTTATATACAAGCTTTGTTGTTTTCTGTTTATTTCTATTTTTTGTATTTTTTACTGACTTGTAGTTTTACAACAGGTTTAAATATGTAAAGAGTAACTTTAAAAGATACTGAGAACCACTGTTTTCCATGTTAAGTGGGTTCAAGTATATTTTCTTTAATAACAAAATTATATTCAGTTGGGCCTCAGTTCTAAAACACAGTTGCACTTTTGCACATGATACAGATATTAGCTTATTATCCAGAAGCAAAATATCTGAATCTCTCACCTTTTTAGTAATTTATGGAAAGTATGAATCAGCACAGTTAACTTTATTTTAATCTTTGTTCTAAGTGGGACATAATTATTATAGAAGGTTATTGTATTTTATATTGACTTGTAGTTTGCAGTTCTCGGAGTAAGAGAAGACAGGCTATAGGATTAGTTCTCTGTTTGCCAAATGTGATGGGAAAATAGTTTCAGGAAAAATTGTCACGCTGGAATTTTTGTAACATCCCTTTTTGTTTTGTTGTTCTGTCATAATGCACACAAAACATTTGTTGGAGGTTTTCTGGGAAAATTTAAGGTGTCGATTCTGCAATCTGATTGTTTTCAATAGACTTGTGCAGCACTGCCCTGGGGCAATAGGAGTCTGCATAGTTAAGTTTTAAAACCATGCAGATGCTTCTTGTAGCAAATAGGGTTCTTTTGAGGCTAGCGTTTATGAGAAGGTCTGATTAAAAGATACGATCTTTAAGTTACAACTTCCCAACTGTTTATGTATATGTCACTGTTTGTAGATTTTTGAATTCATAATTTGAATGACCTTACAGTATATTTAAATTTTAAAATGTTTTTTTAAATACAGAAAGCTTTTGGAAAAGATATGATAGTGTAGTATAACACAAAATGTATTCTTCATGAATATCTGGTTTTGTATACTGTATCCTGAGAATTAGTTTTATATTTAGCAAAAGCAAATTTTAGCTTTTATGTTTAAGAGAAAAGTTGCCACTCCTTCATTTGGGAAATAAATATATATGCAAAATGTCTTACAAATACTTTATTAGTTGAAAAGGAAGTTAAGAATATTTTTGTTAGACCTTAGTACCGTTTTGAGTATGCTTAAATAATAGTTTTATTGTTAAGGAAGGAAGGTGTCTTGTTTTTAAATGTGGTAAAAATGGAGAATGGACTGAAAATTCTTGAGTTTCAAGACTGAACTTTTTATACAGAACTGTCAAAACATAATTATTACCAGTGATACTGCTAAGAAGCTGTTACGGTCAGTTAAATCTTTTTCCTTATGTGGGTAAAAAGTTAGTTCAAATAAAAGCAGCGGTTTGTACATACACATACACATAGAGGTTCTAGATGGAGTCAGTTCCCTGCATGCTCAGATTTTTTTTTGTTTGTTTCTTTGTGCAGCTTTAATTTTTGATTTGATACAATGTTGAAAGAATAAAAATCCAACTGTGGGGTTTGTGGATGAAATGTTCAAGCTAGTTCAGGGGTTTTTGTGGTTTTGTATTTTTTAAAACTACAAATACCGTGGAAATTGTGTTTGAAAAAATACAGGAGTTTTTAAAATAGTATGTGCCAGATTATCAGCTTGTCTTAATATGTATTTTTTTTTGTTTCCAGATTTTGTAGGATGAATCCTTAGTTTTCCTTCTAGCTTCTGTGTATACTTAATCTTGTAGGACTTCAGTGGAACAATTTGTAGGCAGAAAATATTTGAGAAACCTTGGTTTGTGTCTAGCAACCTCTAGATCTGTTTTCATTTATTATCTGATTATTGAATTTGAAAAATGATGGTTATGTTCTATAACAACAGTTCATCTGTCATAGAATGAAATGGTTTGTATTGGAAAAGGCAGCACAATACTTGCTTGACTGCCAGGATTAGCTCTTAATATGCACAAGTACTCAATTTTTTTTCTGAAATGTACTAGAACATTTAAAAGTCACTGAAAAAAACCCAGCACAGTCAGGCTGTTTGCATCTAATATTATGCATCAAGTATTGAACTTTTCCTGAAAGAAACCAATAATAGATTTTTCCACCCCCCATCTGGAAGGATACATTGAGTAAAGAAAACATGAGTTAAGAGTTAGCAAATGTGCATACTTAAGCATTTAAATTTTTTTAATTGTTGTTTTTTTAGTATTTATGATTGAATCTTGTGCTGAGGAAGAGAAATAGTTGTTCCTATCTTAAAATCTGTAAAATGAATGGTACAGATGACTCTCGTACCAAACTTTATAATTAAGAAGAGCTGCTTATGTAACTGGGGACTGTAGGATCTATCCCCTAAGTAAAGCACCTCATAACATATGAAAATGGTAAGTCTGTTATAACACTCCCATGTGTGCTATATACCTATAAAATATTTTCTTTTATAAAACACCATTCTTTTTTTCATGTGTTGATGGTGACATTTGGCACTATTTATTTTAAGCCATGGCATTAGGTGTCTATTTTCTTTAAAGAGAGAACGTGTTACATTTCTAACCAAAATGTCTGACTAGCTCCTCCTTTTATTTCAGTAATGCTACAGTATTAACTTGCTTCACGAGTGAACGTTGTGGTTTGAGTGACATTGCATAAAATCTTTGTCTTGTCTTGAAAGGTCCCCTGCTGTGCAGTAGTCTAATAGAAATAAAACATACAGGTATTAAATATAATGTAAAAATGATAGTGTTTCTATGATATTTTTTCAAACTTTTCTTGTTACAGATATGTATATATGTTACAGTAGATGCTACCTATCTTGTGGACAGTTTACTGCTTCCAGTAGTTGATTATAGGTGAGTTTTCTTGACTGTAACAAAAGATAGTACATTAAAAAAATCTTTTTTGTATTATTTGTCAAAAATTTATCTAAAAATACTACATCAGCTATATTATTCACAATTAACCTAAAAGAGTGTGTTTATCTAAAATTTAAAAACAAATGTAAAATTATTTTCAAACCATATGAAAATATCTGAAAAGCATAAAAACAACGTAGAGCTCCCATTATGGCCCCAGTCCTGTGAGCTCTTGTTTATAGGTAGGCTGATTTTTATGTAATTTCAGTAATTTTGAGTGAAACTCCTGTGCACACATGAATAAATAGTAATCAGGAGGGTATATAGAAATTATGTGCTCCACTCACTTTTTATACTTTCTGTATGTCACTGGTTTGGTAGCAGGGAATAATGTATTTTTCCCCCTCTACTGCTGCACGCTCATGATCCAGCTACCAATTGTACAAGCAGGCAATAGAAGTATGTCGTCTTTTTGTAATGAGCAGAACCTTTAAAAACATGCCAATATACCGCAAGATGAAATGCAGTATTAGAAGTGTCTGAGAAGGCTGGTGTTTTATTCATGCTCATGATTAAGAAAGCCATAGAGTGAAATTCTTGACAGAGGCTTGGAAATGGAGAAGGACTTCTTATGCCAGTGGTTCTCAGATATCTCTGAATAGGACCCAAAATTGCAGTGATGTTTTGTTTTCAACAATCTGTCCACTTAATCCCTGTCTTTGCTGTTAGACAGCAAGATGAGAATCTTAATGGCTGAATTTGAATGCTGGTGGCGAATGCTATGTCAGGTATTTGAGCTTCTAGGAACAGGAGGTTGATGTGAGGGAGAGTCAACAAAGACCTTCAAGTCTTGCTTTGTGGAGAGTTAATTTAATCTGGAAATAAAGGTGTTGGACAGCAGAGTTCAAATCACTGCTTTTCCATCATTTTTAATACTTCTTTAACAGTCAAAAGTTTTTGCAACCCTGCCATATCCCCACATCATCTAGCCAGTAGCAGTTCTGGTCTTCTGAATTTCTGATCTCTCGTTTGGTCTCGGTGAATAACTAAACCTTTCTGCCAAGATCATCCAAGGAGGGAAGTACAGGCGCTGGGCATGCCTAGTGGGGTGTTACTTATGTTTCCGAACATGACTCAAATATAGATTTTTAAGGTTCTTTTTTGAACTTTAATCCCTTCCCTGAACCTTGTTCTTCAGTTGATGCTTTTTTAAAATTGTTTCCCCTTTCATATGCACTTCTGAAGTCCTACGATTCCTGTCTTCTACTGCCTCTGCTTCATCTGTCCTGTTGTCTGTTTTACCCTCTTCCTGATTTAAAGTCCTCTGTGTCTAGTTTTCCTAGTGGCCATTAGTTTGCTGCTTTCGTGATTCTGCTGAACTCAGCCCATTGCTGTCTACTCAAATTTTATCCCTCACCATGGGCAAGCCCTATTTTTTTTTTTTTTTTCCCCCTTTTTTCCCCTGGTAAGTACTTAACTCCATTGTTCTACACTCTGTTTTTCCAGGCCAACAGCTTTGATTTCTACTTTTAGACAGATTTTTTCACTGCCTCAATCATTCCCATGACCTTGTCTTTACTAAATACTGTTCACTTTATTATCTCTCATTTCTAAATTCCCTTTCTCTGATCACTACCTGCTCTCTTTCAGCTTATCTTTCTTTCTCTCTCCTTTACCCTGTCACTCACTCCTTTTGGGATCTCCAGTCTATTAACCTTTCTGACTCCTTTACTCTTCTCAGCTGCCTCCTCCCTTCATTGCCTCACTTCCTTTGACTCGCTGGTCTTTATTTTCATCTCAAACTGCTTCTCTATACGTGGTTTCTTTGGTTGCTTCTTACATTGCCCTGTCTCCGTTCCTCTCCCCAGACATTTTTTCTTGTAATTTCTTAATTTCCATTCCTGCCTTTCCACATAGCTCTGAAGATTATGTCAGCACAACACAGCTTTGCCTTACCTGTTTTAATTCTCTTTCCAAGAGGACTTTTTAACCATTTTATCCCACCTTTTTTTTCTTGTTGAACTTGCTTGCAGGTTTGCTGTTCATTTTATTTCTCCATTCATTCTTGATACAAAATA